AACATGAAGTATTTGGTAAAAACCAAGCTCTATAGGGAAATGATATTGATTGTGAAAAATATTGAATAAAAGTGGGGGGGTAAGGTGTGTTGAAATATTTAAAATAAATCTAACTCAAAACAAACAATAATATCAACTTAAAATTTTTGGAAAAATCAAGCTCTACAGAGGATGAAGCCTATTGATTCTGAAAATAATCTGATTGAAAATCAGGGTTAAGGGGGTCTGTTAAACTGTTAAACTGTGAAAATTATAATTTAGAATGCCACGCATTATATATGAGTCCCATAAATGCAAAACTCGGAATTTAACGAAATTTTCAGAAGTAATGTTTTCGCGCCATTCAATTCCTTATTTTAAACTCTACAATTCTTCTTCTAAAATAAGATGCAAAACTTCCTATTTCTGCATTAAAAACGAATTAGAAAACGAAGACTAGATGCAATACTCTGTATTTGCCTTCATTTGTCAAATGCAAAACTACGTAATTGTAACCTGCCAATGGCGTTGCGCCTAATAGTCACGTGATTAAGTAAGACGGACACGTAGACATTTTAATTTATTCATTTGTTGTTTGCTTATTTAGAGAAGATTTTTTTGCTTGTATGTATTTTATTACACCTAACAAAAATGTTTTAATTTATATTTTTGTATCTGTTTAAAAAAAAATTGTAAGAAAATAAAAGTTCTAAAATAAAACAACCATGCACTTATCGGTATTTGCAATTGTGAGTTGCAAAACTTGGTATTTTTAAAACATACATGCAAAACTCGGTATCTTAATTTTAAAAGTATTTATTTTTATTTTTGGTAGAATTTCGGATTAAAGAGCACAGTTATTTCAAAACAAAATCACTAGAGCCAACTTAAAACAAAATTTAAAACGGATACATATGTATTTTAATTACTGAAAGCTTTTGCCCTTCCTGAAAAATTTTGTAACTAGCAAATAACGATTTTTGCATTTAGGGGACTCATCTTCGTTCTGATTTGTATCTGTATAATATTATGCATTGTTTTTTGTCAATAAAGGGTATTTAATAAATATAATATTTTTTTTATATGTGACAACTGTGAAAATTATTAAATTTATAATAAAAACTCAAGAATCGGGGGTAAAGTTTCATGTAATAATATTTTTTACACAAAAATCAATGTCAAGGTTTCTACATTTAAAAATAATCTTAAATTATGAAGAAAAGTCAGTTGACTAACTAATGTTTATAGATGGTTTTCAACGTATTAAAAACAAAACAAATATAACAATAACTAAAATATTCATTTATTCATTCATTAATAGTTGTAGTGCTTGAAAACATTATAATATTGATAATAATAACTACACTGAGAGACTTAAAAGAGATTTAAAAAGTTTTTTGTTGAGAAATTTCTTGCTACCACAAATAAATTTTCAGCTACAATTAAAAAAATACATTCATGCAACTAAATAAAATGCTTTTTTAAAGTAGTTTTGTCGCCATACAAAAAAAAATTGTTACCTCTGCAAATATTTTTTTTTCAGTCTATAGAACCAGCAAAAATAATTTTTGCTCTTAAAAATAGTTTTTAATTACTAAACATTTATTTTCTGTAGTAGAAATTCAAAATATTAATACGTATATTTTCCATCATAACAATTCGCTTTTTAAGTCCAATAAAAAATATCTTTAGAAAATAACGATCGGTTTCGATCGAGAGCTTTTTCGTCTGTGCTCGAGAAAATTTTCGTGTATTCAACGTACTCCTTTCAGTCCGTTCCCGGTATATCGGCAGGCACAGACTGAACAATCCGGTGATTGATTTGTGATTTTAGTTATAATTACCCTAGCCGCCAGCAAAAATCATCCACGTTACGTTGGCAAATCGTAGGTCTGACGCCATTTTTGCAATAATTGTGCATAAGTTGTGTTCGTTTTCCAATGATATTACACAGAGAAGCTGATTAATTGGGGACTTCAAGATTTTGTTGAAAATTTTAAGAGTAAGTACATAACGTATAATATAAAAGTATTTTATATCTACTAATTTATCGGTTTCAAATGTATTGACCCCTCACTTTAACGTTAATTTAGGAAAAAACAGTAGATAAAGCGAAAAATCTTGCAATGTTTTTTCATTAAGATATCACAAATTCCTTTTTCTATTTTGATGGAACTGTTTTGAGTACTGAGGGTTAAATGTTTAAGATTAAAATTATTTGTTCCAGTGACGTTAACAGATATTTCTAACAAAACACATATATGGCAGTGTTTTTTGATATTTTTATTAAATTAAGAAATAGAAAACAAAAATGTTTTGTAATTATTTTTTTTGTACCGCTTTTTGGCAAATTAAACATGCACATCTGTAGAGCGTTTAGGTATACATGAAATAACCTAGAATAAGAAATAAGAATTAGTTGACAAGATGGCAAACTTTTATTTTTTTAGGTATACCTTATTTTATTTAATTTTGTTTGGAAATTGATAATGCGCATGCCCCAAAAGTTTTCTGTTTTAATTGTTCCAGCTTAAGTTTTTTTAAATAAATGTTGACAGTTTTACAAAGGATTCGGGAGACTGAGTAATTTTTTGCAACAATTAAAACTGCCTGTTCAATGCAACAAAATACTTTTTAACTGCAAGAAAAATACTGTTTAACCACTAAAAACCTACTTTTGAACTATAAAAAACTACTTTTTAGTGAGTAAAATTTTACTTTCTAACCACTAAAATTGATAAAAACTAAAAACTACGTATTTAGGGATTGAAAAGTAAGATTTTTTAATGAATTTTGACAGTTTTATAAAGGATTCGGGAGACTGATTCATTTTTTGTTGCATTTAACAGTATAACCTTAGCTTTTACAGACCTTAAAAACCTAAATTTAAACATTTCTTAAAAATACCTGACATTAATTTTTATGTAAACTCAATTACTGAGCTAGGGGAGGTTTCTAGGATCCACGACTGGTACTCAAGTTTATTAAAATTCGAAATGTTCGTTTCTGAGATAGTATTATTAAAATAGAATTTTTTTTCTAGATATTAAAGAAGGATCGTTTGGAATGGCCCACCTGGTAGATAGAAGAATGTTATGCTTTTATGTTCCTACCTATTATAGTTAATAATCCTAATGGCATGGATTTTCTTATTCTATTCTATATTATAATAAAGAGAAAACAATATATTTAGAATAAATAAAATTTTTTTTAGGATTTTTCACAAAGAATAAATACCGGATTAATTTAAAGCTACTAACTACTCATTTAAAAAATCTTGGTACATATGCCTTAACTCGTCTAAAGACAAATTAGTTTAAATTATCAAATAACAATTTTATATTACATAACCTACTGAATTTTTAAAATTCAAATACATTTTTGAAATATTTAGCAATATAACTAATATATTTAATACAAAATAATCGTCTCTTTTATTTTTGAAACCCTTCCTTTCCTATGTTGATCTTTATTTCCACCACAGGTTAAATAAAAATATATGTAAATTTTATAGGTAGATATATATTAGGTAAATTTTGCTCTAATAATTATATATAGTTTCTAATGCACGGCTAAAAAGTTAATTTTTCTATTTTTATAGAACTGGTTTCATTATAAACAAATATAAATTTCAGTTATACTCGGTAAATCTGGAAATTTGACATTTAATACATGCAAAACATTCTTGTATTTCGACTTTAACTGAACTTTATTTTTTTGTAGAAAAAATGGCCTAAGAGCTGAAGAAACTAGCCCTAAATAGCAAAATTTACTTTTAACCATCAACAAATACTTTTTAAAGGTAAAAATTAACTGTATAATCATTAAAATCTACTTTTTAAAGGTAAATGGTTACTTTTAAACCACTACACACTACCTTTAAACCACTAACAACAATTTTTTAAAAGTAAAAATTAATTTTTTATCAATTAAAACTACCTTTTAAAGGTAAAAAAATATTTTTTTATTGCAAAGAAAATAATTTCTTAATCAGTACCTAATTTTTAACGAATAAAAACTACTTTTAATTAATAAAAACTATTTTTTAACCACTAAAAGCCTAATTCTTAACCAGTAAAATCTATTTTTTAGAGATAAAAATAATTCTTTAACAATTAAAACTGCCTGTTTAAGGTAACAAAATACTTTTTAACTGCAAGAAATATATTGTTTAACCACTAAAAACCTACTTTTTAAACATAAAAAACTACTTCTTAATGAGTAAAATTTTACTTTCTAATCACTAAAATTAATAAAAACTAAAAAGTAAGTTTTAGGGACTAAAAAGTAATTCCAAAAAAGTGAATTTATTAACCGTAGCAAAGTACTTTGGCTGTCGCCTATTTTAATAGTTTTTTTTAAGGGTGAATACATTTTTTGTTACCATAGCAAAAAATTTCTCTCGGTGTACACTTGTACAAGGTTTTGAACCGAATTTACAAATAATAAAATTATTGGAAAAAGTGAACACCCATTTTAAATTATAACAAGCTGCCACTGGTTTTAAATTTTATTTTAAAAATCACTTCAAAAATGTTATTAAATAATTATTATTTTAAATAAAAACATATAATGTAACCTTATTTTGTCTACATATTGAAATTATAATACAGAATGAGATCCAACTTTTATTTTTTATCAACATGGCGGAAAGTTTGTTATTAACATATTTTTGATTTTTAGTAGTTCCAGGTTTGTAAACAAAAAATCTTTGTAGTAAAAAAAAAAATTGTTTAAAAAGTTTGCTTTGTTGAAATATTAAAACTGCTTTTTATATAAAAATTCTGCATGATTTTATAAATATGTCAACATGCCAAATTTTATAAAAAAATCGTAAAAAAATAAACTTAGAATTAGTTTTGAGTCAATTTATAACTAAAAGAAAGTGGTCAAATTACCTTTAATGAAACAAAAATGTCAAAATACTACTAACAACAGAAAAAAATAGTTTATATGTTTATGTTTATAAGCCAATTTAATTTTATAATTGTAGTTTAAAAAATTATTAAAAAATTACTTACATAAAAATAACGAGCAGACACTCGGCTGTTTTGGTTAGTTGAGACATTTTCATGAAAATAGATATCTAATGTTAGTGTCAGGTTAATTTATATATAAATATCCAAACTTTGATTCTGCGGTTCGTTTTACCAAGTTATCAATTGACGTTATAAGTTTTTGGTTAACCTTTATCAGATTGTGGGTTTTTTAGAGAAAAGTAGTAATTTTGTAGTTATATAATTTATTTTACTGGTTTGCGAGTTGGGGTTTTTAATAATTGTTTAATTAATTCATCTGTAAGGTATAAGCATTTTTTAAATAACATCAATACTATATTGTAATTTTTACTAATTTTTACTAATAAATGAAGTAACATTTGGAAAATTCAAAAAAATCTACAATTTTATTTTCTACATACACATTGATATTATACAGTATGGTTCAAATGAAAGGAATAAATTCATTATAATGGAAGTAGCTGGTTTTTCGAAAAAATGCTCGGACAGGTCAATTTTGTTTACTCAAAGCGCAATTTTTTAAATAGAATTTAATTTTCCCTCACTTCCCATTTTTGGGCAGTGACGTCATTGACAATTTTTTTAAATGGTAACCTCAATATTTTTTCTTGATTTTGATAGATCTTGCAATTTCCTACTCGAAAACATAATATTTGAAATATCTTACATAACAATTTTTTTTGAATAGAAGACATTTAAAGATGAGACACATAAATTTTATTTTATTTTGAGAACACAATAAATGAATAAAAGATAATTATTTGTAATTAAATGCTTAATCTAACAAAATAATAATAAAAATAATAATAATAAAAAGAATTTGTGAAATTGTCATTAAATTCTTTTTATTATTATTATTATTATTTTAGATTAAGCACTTAATTACAAATAATTATCTTTTATTAATTTATTGTGTTTCAAAATAACATAAAATTTATGTATCTGATCTTTAAATGACTTTTTTTCAAAAAAAAATTGTTATGTCAGATATTTCAAATATTATGTTTCCGAGTAGGAAATTGCAAGATCTATCAATATCAAGAAAAAAAATTGGGGTTGCTATTTAAAAAAATTGTCAATGACGTCACTTCCCAAAAATGGGAAGTGGGGGAAAATTGAATTTTATTTAAAAAATTGCGCTTTAAGTAAACAAAATTGACCTGTCCGAGCATTTTTTCGAAAAACCAACTACTTCCATTATAATGAATTTATTCCTTTCATTTGAACCATACTGTATATTCTAATCACATACTGCATCGTCGCTTCAGAGCAGAACTAACATACTTCTAAAATTTGTTATTTTTGGGGTTTAATGCAGAAGCAGCCTCTGTCTTATCTATATTACTTGGGAAGAATAGATAACTAAAAAAGTATCGTATCTTAAACACCACTGTCAGGCTGGCGTGACCAACTGGGCAGAATCGATTAACATATTTTGTATTAATTTTTACTACTAATAAACCCAGGGTACTTTACATCCAAAAGTTAGCGCCATACCGTGGTCCAGATCCTCCCCGTTGACTTCAACCAGGTTTCAGTAATTAAATCATTCGCGACGTATGATTGGAGAAGAGGAAGAAATGTTACCCTGTACCCTGCATTGGTCTATGGTACGAATAAAAAAAGAGATAGAAAAGTAATTTCCTATCAAGTAACATCTGGATCATTCAAGAAAGTACTAGAAGATTCTGGCGAGCTATGTAAATCGACGAACCTGACTACAGAGGGGCAGTTTGATGATAGACGTTTTACGATATTGATATCAGCTGTATAGTTGACTTGTAAAAGTTGACTTAAAATAAATTAAGTTATCAAAAATCAGCGTATATATTAAAGAATTACAAAAAATCTGTTGCGGTCGGGTATATTTGAAATCCTAAAGACAGCCTAAGTATTTTTATAGTATAACCTAGCTCAACAAGATAGAGCGTTGTATGAAGGCATAGATTCCAAATATACAGTCAAGCTAGCTTAATATTAATCTTCTAGCCTCGAAGCTTTATGTGTTTTTTGAAAACTGCACATAGTACAAAATTTTCATTGGTGGTACAAATTAGTACAAATCTTGTCCATGTTAAATAACAATTTTGTAAATGGTTTATTTTCAAATAAATAAAATTTACTGGACTGTTGAGTTACATTTTAATTTTGATTAGGAATTTAAATCAGCAATAAAGTTGTTATTTTTTTTAAGTAAGCACCTAAAAACAATGTCTAAGATGCGTGGTGCTGTTCTGCAGCTGCTGGTGTTGTTCTTTCTGCAGGAAGAAAGGGATCCTTCAATTCTTAAGGAGGTCATTTCGCCACCAATGTTAAATAAAAATATTAGATTATGACTAAAATTAATTTTTTTCTAATAGTTGAAGTCCTTATTTATCTAATATAGTCCAGTCATTTAAGCTTAAATTAGGTAAGAATCTCGGAATTCGAGATACCCAGCTGTAAGTATGTAAATACTTGTATATTGACACCATAAAAGTTGTCTCAAAACCTACATATGGTAGGGTGTACGCAACTATTAAATTCCAAGGTCAAAGGTCACAAAAATCGGTTTTTTGCGCTTTTTTTGTAAATATCTCATTTCCTATGGGTTTTTTGCTATTTGTATTTATTATCAATATTGTAGAATACAAAATTCTCTACAAATTTTGTTTAAAAAAATTCAGACTACGTAAAAGAACGTAAAAGCTATGGAGCAGCAGAGAAGAACTGCTGCCCTTTCAAAAACGTATGAAGTCTGTTTCTATGAAACAATGGTTGTACCAGTTACTCAAGAAAAATTCTTATCAAATCGAAATAACAAAGATATGCTCATTAATATGTTAATTGAAAAATTACAAGCTGAAAGTATTACCAGATATGGGGTTGGGCAATGCGAAACGATTTTCTGGAGCCTATCATAACAATTTTACCACCTGCTTCAGAAGATTTGCTAAATACAATTTTCTGCAACTGCAAGAGTGGTTGTGGTTTGCGATGCGGATGCAGGAAAGCGGGCTTGCAATGCTCTTTAGCTTGTGGCCAATGTAATGGGCAAGCTTGTCTCAATGCTCTACCATATCAGAGCGACATTAACGAAGATGGAACCTTTGACCCCGAAATCATGGAAGAACTTGAAACAAATGTCGTTGAAGACGATAATGAAGACCAGTTTGAAATTTACCAGCAGCCGGAAGACGACGATGAAGAGGAAGATGATTAAAATTATAAATTGTAGTTTTTGTACCCTTTATTCCATTTTTTTACTTTTAATAAAAATAAATGTATTGAATGATATTTTTTAATAAAAAGATTAATTCTTAATTTATTTGTTTTTTTTTTTTCATCATGTAAGAAGTTATTAATATAATGTCCATTGCGCAACCCATGAATAGTAAATAATTGAAAAAATAATTTTGTACAATATTTAAATGTTCCATCCATGTGCGATAAACATTTCATATTAGATGTACAACCAAAAATTACAATATTAGTTTCAATATCACTGGCCAATAAAAATGGTTCGTTTCTATCTGCTGTTAAATCCATAACATTCAGAGCTTCTTGGACATCATGTGTATCTTTTGGTGTAGCTGACTTGTTGGTGTTCAATCGATTGCGATTCACATTATGCCGTATAAAGTCCAGATCCATAGTTGTTATATTTTCCTTATACGAAGACGTCGAAATCTCCATATTCATTATTTTTTATGGTCGTTGGTAAATGTCATGCACGGCCTTCCTTCTGCAACTATTACTTATAGCCTGTCGACTTAGCTTTTGCAAGTTGGCTTGATGGTTGTGTTCCAAGGAATGATCCAGGACGTTTAAATCTGAAAAGACATTAGATCATTGATTTGACCATTCAAAAAAGGTTTCAATTCAAATTTAAAAAGTTGCAATTACCTTTGGTATGCGGACGCTATTCAAATACACATTAAAAGACTCTGTGCTTAAGATCATTGATATATCAAGAACGGATTCAAAATTTTTTTATTTGTCAAAATATCCACTGTCCATTTCTTAGTAATAAACAACCAATATAATCCACTTTCTTTAATAAATATAATGAAAATAATTAAACTTACCTCGAGTATGACATTTTGCTTTACAGTCCTTTACAGAACACACCCAATATATTATTCCATGTTTCAGGTCTTTACGTTTTCTAAATTTATTATAATTTAGAACAAGCATTTGCTGGCCACGTTCACTTAAAACAAAATCAGTTACTAACTCCATAGGTAATATTTTTTTATCCGAACGCTAAAAGGTTTAGATAAAAACTGGTATGAGCTAATTGAGCTATTAAAGCATACATAGAACATACTTAATTGTAGGGATGTGCCGTAACAATAAGTCACCCCAATAGTCACCCCTTCTACCCAAGTAAGATAATATTGTATTGATTGATTTTGAAAATTGTATTTTGACAAAGGTAATTAAGAACCTATCTCTAATTTAAATTGAATGTAAAACTGCTTATGATTTTAAAACCAAATCATAATATGTAAAAGCTTTTAACCTCAGATAAACAAATGAAAAATAGATACCTAACGGGCGCCGTTTAACACAGGCTTTGTTTGAAGCCAGTATCTACAAACTTTTGACAGCTGTGGTACTGCGGTCTACATGGGCGTATCAAGTAGTTTTTTTCATCGGAATCCGAAGGATTATTTTGTAACGGACGGATTTAAAGAAAAATGTAAATCAAACATAAAATTTTATTTTACAAAAAGTAAACTACGCTATTTTTTAATGAAATTTTAAGGAAATAACACGTAATGTATTAGCTTTCTATGTGTTCTAACTTAACTCTTTGATAGGTAGCGATATTTGAGTTCGTGTGTAGATTGTGAAATACAAAAATAATAAAAATAGGGATAGAGGCCATTTTTCGGCGCAATCTATTAGGTTAGGGCATATTATATGTTAAAATGGAAGTCTTCCTTCTGGCATTTTGACAATATGGATACAATAAGTCTAAGTATAATTACATTAAAGTTTATTAATACTACAGCAGGTTAGGGTAATCATACATACAGCATTTCACTATATTTGCTGCGTTTGAAAAGTAACCTCTTTTTACTCGAA